TTTTTAAATTAGTGCATTTACCTGATAAAAATTTATTTTATTTTTAGTATTATTTATGACGTTTAATAAATTAGTAATTTGATATTAGTAAAGAACTTCTTTGTTAATAATACATTTATTTATAAAATGATCATAGTAAATAAGGAAATTGTTTAAATACTACTTACCCAAAGACATTTTTAAAAATTTATTTTTATTTTTATTTATATAGATCTCTTCATTTACTATATTTCTTAATTTTACTAGTGGTAAGTACTTGTTTTGATAACTGCTATTCTGTAATAAATACATGCTTATTAGTTATTTCTGTGGTGTAATAATAAGTTATTAATAGCACTTTTAATGAATTTACTTATATAACAATAATAACCGTTTTTAATTTTCTAATTTTTTACGTAATTGTTTATTTGTAAATTTTAATATTTTTTATGGTTTGTGATAATGTGTAAACCAGTTGTGGAAATTACAAATTTATAAAACATTAAAACATATATGAAAAAAATACCATTAGATTCCTTAGAAGTTTGAACTTCTACAATTATTATTATTTTACTAGGTTTCAGTTTGGTGGGGAGGGAAGCCTTGGATTATATATTTCATATTATCAATAATATTGTTTAAAAATAATTTTTATCTGGCCATAACGAATTTGGGCCGCTTCACATTTTATACTGCATTTGCGATTAGAGTCTGCACAGTGCAATACTCCTACGTCACATTGACACATTATACGTAATTAGTTATAAGTTATAACCAATCAATAAGAATAAATTCTACGTAGGTCGCATATCCTGTTTCCTGTATAATATTAGTGATGGGAATAATCGAATGATTTTAATAATCGATATATTTTATAGTCGAATGCATATGCATTTTTCACTAGAATGATAAAATAATCGAATGCTTTTTTATCTCATTGACCGTACACTACTGTCTACTTTATAGTCATTAGTTTTATTCGGTTTTATAAGTACAGTCATTGGTATACTGTATGTTGTATGTACATGTATACGAATAATATAATTAGGTAACATTCAGTCGAAGCGTATTTGTTATTACCTAATAACTGAGAATTTATTCGATTATTTTAATAATCTAAGACCGTGATTTTTACCATGACATATTTATTTTGTCTTGATTTTTACTTCTAATTTTTATCATTCGATTATTTTATTATTCGAATGATTTTTAAAATAATCGAATTTATTGGATTATTACATTCGATTATTCCCCTCACTATAATATTATATTATATTATCTAATGAAACCCGTATTAATAATCAATGTAACCCTTATAACTTCGTTTTTCATTCGGTTATCTAAAATTAAAATTAAATTCTAAATATAATTTTTTTTTTATTATAATTGACAATAATTGGTCAAAAAGTTCTAGCAAATTTTTCGAGTTGAACTAATAGGCCAAAGATACAAATTAATTATTTAATTCAATGAGTTAAATGTATACCAATACGGCAATACCTATATATATATATCATATTATCTAGATCTAAATAAGGGTATGTGATAAGATGCCATTAACATCATATTGATATAACTAGTTACCTACCAAGTAAATTTCGTTGTATTTGGACTTTTTGTACTTGAAAATTGTAATTGTGTAGGTTTAAAGAATAATAATAAAATAAAGCTAATATTGTATTAAGAAATTAAACACCGAGAAATACCTATATATTTTAGAACTAAAAAAATATTTTTGGTTAAAGATTCGCCGTTGACACTTCTGTTATCGTCACAAGTCAAAATCCCAATTGGGTTAGTGTCAAAAAATTCTCCAAAATCACGCGACTAAAATTGGCGAATCAAAATTAATACTTACAAATCTGCGGAAGTCATAGGCCATAGCGAATCTAAAAATATTGCCTCGAGAATGTCTTCAAATAATAATGAACTACACTTCTATCCCTGTCAGAACTGAAATTTAGTATTCCGGTATTAGATTAAAGTCGTTTAAGAAAGAAAAAAATCATCTAGTGCCATGTAAATTGTAAGATATAACATCTACACCGTCCTCTCCCATAATTCCAAAATAAAACTTCATAGCTCATACTAAACTTCTTATTTACTATACATTACAATTATAAGCCCCTTAACGATCCGTTTAGCTCTGTGTCTTACCGGAAATTAAATTCGTACAAGTAAAATGGAATTGAAGAATGTGCATATTATACGGAACGGTATGTCCACGCTTACTAACGTGTCGTAATAATTAAGTTTTGTTGCATTTCTCAGGTCATCGATAATCGATTACGTATTAATCAACAACTGAAAAGTGAAGACCGCATACGCCATTATAAGGGCTGTTTCGTTTTATGGAATTGCAATCTGGGGTTTAGAGCGTTAAAATATATTTACCTAAAAATGAGATGTTATGTTTCATACCATGTATTAATTTTAATGTAAGTTATCAAATGTACTTAGTTATGTTATTTGTAAATTTTAATTGATTTAAATTTGATAAACGATAAAGTTTTACATCAATTGTTGGTTCTTTTCTTAATTTTTACATAACAAATGTTGTTTAACAGTATATAGTATGTAATTTTGTATTTGTTTTACTATATATCAGTTATCTAACACTCTTTATTTATATATATGTAATATGTATAAAATATCCTTGCCATGCTAACAATTTGTTTAAACATTCTTAAAGAAAATCTCCTATATTAAAAACAGCATTTTGGTACGTAAACTACACCGGGAGTTATTATTATTATCAGTGTCTGTGGTGGTTTGTCTGGAGAAAGTAGAACAACAGGTTTTTCTTGTACGAATCTTGTCTGAATTAATTGCAACGATCGACGTGATTCTATCCCTGCTGATTATTCCAGGCAAAATCAGAAATCATTTTTTTCTCAATAAACCGGAGTTGTTTATAGACTTAACTATTTATACATCTGACCATTCTTTCAAACTTGAAGCATCCTTGTTCCGTGCTTAGAATATCTAACCTTTATAATTTATATTCATCGACAATAATATTGTCGAGACTGGTAATTTGTACACAGATTTTTATGAACAATGAACCTTAAAGCTTATTTTTAATAAGTGCTAAAGCTTAGTCTTATTCATAAATAATTCATAGTTTTTTCCACTCTACATTTACTTTGTGAAATCCTGAATTGATCAAATAATAATTAAAACCATTATTTCATAATATTTTATTAAAACATTATAAGTATTAGCCATTAAGTATTTTAAACTTTTAATTTATCGTTTCCGGGATAATCAATTTGATGTATGTATATTTGTTTTCTATTTTTATCCTTATAATCAATATCCTTTCTCTAAAGTATATTATGTTTACATTTCAATGTAATATCTAAATAAAATGTATTGCCCCTATATTTTAATAGTGATATTTAATAATACAAACATAAATATAAGTGTAGAAGATAACAAGTCATCCTAAACAACTAGAAAGTTCGTCGGTACGACTTCTTTATAGTTTAAAAAGTAGAGTGTTGGTAACCTTGACATCGTCATGACCAAAAAAAACCGCACAAATACTGGATATTTTCCACATACATTCACGTGTTTCTTACAAATTCTAAATGATTTCATCTCAACTTCATTCATATTTAAAAGTGTAAAACAAATTTACATTTTAAAATTTAAAAATTTATAATTTATATTTATTTTAGTAGAATTAATACCTATGACAAGTGCTACTTGTGTAGGTATTTTATTTTCACATCATAAGAGTTAAGATAAATTTTAATTATATCCTATCGAGATTTTATAAATGTTTTAACTGGGTACATTTGAAAATTAAAAACACATTTTTTTTAAAAGTGGGTGTCGCTCTGTTCTACAGTAGGTTACAAGTGGGTCACTGTAATAGGTGGTGTTCAATTTGAATTCAATGGTGTAATATCATTGCATACGAAAAACGATTCTGAACGAAGACTGTCATTCAGCCTACGATATTATATTACTAAGTATATTTGATGATATTATTGTGAATAAAGTGATTTATTAAATTATTTACTTGGTACCTTGTTTTAAATTTTCCATCCTTAGATATAAAAGTTGAACATTTTATAAATTTTTAATTTTAAATTTCATACATTTTGTCAACATTTGAACTTTAAATGCTTATAAAAAAAATGTGTGCCTATGTACGAGTATTTTTACAACTGCTATTGTAACAATATATGAGGCCTTGCACCACCTAGGTTCACTTTCCCATCGAACAAAATTATGGAGTTGAAAATCGAAGCATTATTTCTACTACTTATCTTGTATACAAGACACAAAAAATAAAAAAAACATTGTAAAATTAATACATTAATCCGGAGCGATGAATCTAAAATATTTAATAACATTTTGCTTTTGGTTATTTGATTGGTTGATATAATATATATGATATGTTTGTTTGGTAACGTTAAGCCTTTTATTTTCGCATTCTTGAAACAACAGATCTCCTATTATAGTCTATGCCCAGTGAAAGCGTAAATATGTAGGTACTGTAAGAACTCTGGAGTCCGTTATTCGAACGTTTGTGTTAGTTAATTAATGGAAAAATCGTTTATAGAACGGAAACAATGTATCATGTATGTTAGTATATTTATTGCTGTAGTAAAATAGTATATATCTATACCATTATCTATAATCATTTTAACTTCCTCATTTTTTTCGTTCACTGTATACAGTATACAACGATTCCTCTCCTTTCGGTATGCGTGCACGTGCCATTCAGGTATGTACGATGGATGAGTTTGAAATAATTAAGCCAGCTTGAATAAACTGTTTTTAAATTCAATTTATTTTGCTAATATTTTAGTATTGGCATAGAGTCAAATAAAATTGTTTATTATTATTAGTATTATTGTTTATTATTCTAAATGCGCACCACATACCTATATTATATTTATAAATATGATATATCATAAATGTACCTAATGTATCTACATTCTACGCTATTCTACTGACCTTGATTTTAACCCAAAATATAACGGCATATTTTTATAATATTTTAGGACCAGTACGATAATTTATCGTTCCACACTCAAAAAGGCATCGATTTTCTTGAAAGATATGGGCACTTCATCCGCGACAGATGCCTCATTGAAATGGAATACGCCGGCAAACTCAGGTATGTAAATATTATGAAAATATAATTTCATTTAACGGCTAATAAAACTTAAAAAAGGAAAGAGGAAGAATACACTGATTTATGCATAATATGCACTTATAATTTATATATATTGTAGGTAATCGCTGCGTTTGACCTTCGTGATATTATTATAAAATATATTACATTTTCCAATATTAACAGGCTTTTTTAGGTACAATGTTTTATTAGGATTTATGTTAAAATTATTTATTTTTTAAATTAAATATAAATTTTTAAATATTTATAATATATTTTGTAAAGTGCATATCGTTATTATATTAATTCTTTTTCAACTGCATAATTATTACTTATTAGCTTACATTAAGGGGATTGGAAGCGGCGATTTTCTGTCTTTATCTAACACACGTGGAACATAGGATTATAGACGTGTTCTATGTCCAACGTACCGATTAATCTAATGAAGCGATAAGAATTCTGAAAACAGATTTGAATTTGTCGTCAAGTCTACTTGAGATCGACTTTCCCACATTTTGATTTTTGATTTAAACTTTCTCCAAAAGTTGAAATTTGTTAAATTTTTAAGTACTTTTTATAATATATCATTTTTATGATTTTGGTGGGACAATATCAAAATGTGGAAAGTCGATCTCAAGTAGACTCTGACGACAAATTCAAATCTGTTTTCAGAATTCTTATCGCTTCATTAGATTAATCGGTACGTTGGACATAGAACACGTCTATAATCCTATGTTCCACGTGTGTTAGATAAAGACAGAAAATCGCCGCTTCCAATCCCCTTAAATGATTTACGTTTGATCTAATTATTTACATTAAGTTGATTAATCTATACATTTAAATTTAAGTTTTTTTACATTTGCAAAGATCCAATTGGTTATATTAAGTATGTTTGTTAATGGACAATATGAAGAAACAATATTAAAATGTTTTATTCAACTATTCGTAAGTATTCGGTTATCAAGGAAATGTAATTTCGTAGCAAATACACCAATATTTAAAATATAATATTATATATGTTTTTCTATTCTAATATTGATAGTATTAATTCCTGTTATCAATTATGTATTCAGAATATTATATAGACAAGCAGTTATAGAACTATTTCAGATTATAATTAAAATTGTAATATTTCGTTATGAAGTTGTATCATAATTTCTTTGTTTAACTGTTCCTTACGCTGATGTAACAAAATAGAAAATCTTATTATTTATAGTCACAATCTATCTGTTTACGTACAATGCTATTACGATAAAATAAGGTTTGTTTGGAAGGACAGGAGACCACAAGGCACTTAATATATAAGATTAGTGTTTGAAAATTTCATGAAATTTAAAAAAATTAAATATTTCAAAATCTGTGAAATATTTCAGTACTTTAATAAATTTTGTTTTACTTTTAAATAAGTTTTATATTTACATATAATTGCCATAAATTACCTTCATAACTGTATGATACCTGTATGTATACCTAACCTTTGGTATTATATATTTAAAATGGTATTCAAAATTTTTAAATATTTTAATGTTTAAATGATACAAGTAGTTATACAATATTATACATGTATATTGTATACCTACTGAATTCTCGCATTAGAATTTAGAACACTGAACTTAGTGTTAAAAAAAAAAAATTGTTTTTATTTGTGTTAAAAAAAATTTCAATGTTTCACGTTTTTGTGAAATATTTCATACTTCAAACACTATCTAAGATAGTATATTTTTGATGTGTCATGTGTAAAGACCGGATTTATATGTTTTTACATATCGTTACTGGATCCATGCAGACTTACGAGGGTAAAAAATGTGAACGATTCGTTCAATTCTGAATGCATAGAAAAAAGTTTTTTTTTGCATATTTGAGAATATTTTACCCATTTAGTATATTTTGGAATATTCCGTAAATTGTGAGAAAAAATTTGTATATATTTTTGATTTTAATATTATGGTACCCAGGAAAAAAATTTTTGAATATTTAATTGTTTTTTTTTTTTTTATATAATTTCCAACTCTTACTAAAGTAGTAAAGTGCAATAGTACTCCAATAGAATACGCAACTTTAATACCACACTATTAAAATAATGTTGGAAAAAAATTTTAAAAATGCATATTAAAGCATATAAATGATGTTTATTGATTATTTTTACATATTTTAGCATATTTTTTAAATTTTTAAAAGAATATAATGAGGATATTTGAAGGTTTTTTAGAGAATATTAGCATCATATTTTAGGTATTTTAAGAAAATATAAATCCGGTATTTAGACTCATGTGTTTTTTTCCTTCTCTATAAATTAAGTAAAGACAGGTTTTTTTCAAAAATAAATACATAAAGAAAATAACTGTTATATATATTATACATCAAATATTGAGTAAAATTAGGAAACGAAAAAAGCAGGATAGAATACTGCGGTAACTGGATACTCGACTTGCTTAGTTTACTTCAGAGTTCAGGGAAGGATAGTAGTACTGTAGTAGTGTAGAATAAATTTGAGTAGTAGGTACAAGGGTATAACATAGCATTTTAAAAATGATTCTAAGCCGAGATTTTCGGTTTATTGTATTGCTTAGTTGACCAGTTGTACCGTCCATGATTAAAGTTAATCAGAGTTAAATCGGCCGAATTTGCCCGTTTAAATATCTGTTATCAGCTGATTAAGCTTAATCGTAGACGGTACGACCATAGAACAAAATAGAATAGACACTTAATCAGCTGGTCGGGTTTGTGTATCCCTGGGGTATGAAGTATTGGACTCAACAGATTGTACCGTATCCGTAATCTGATAAGATGTTGGTAACGTGTATCCCTATATTTTACAATGTTATAAAAAACGGAAACAATCCATTGACCACGAACTACGATCGTTTTAATTTATTCAAAGTTTTTTATGCATGGTATTGTCAATATCGTCACATTTTGCTATGAAATATAAATTAAATATTATATTAATATTGTTATTTGACATTTTTCAAATAACTTATAATATTGATATGAAGTATTTAATTGATAACGTATACCACGCCCCACGGAAACCGTCTTCAAGGCCACAGTCACCCGATTTGGCCATAACACACAGTGTCTAAGGCCTGGTACAACTGGCCCTTATAATTATAAGTTTAAATGTTTAATTCAATTTAGGTTGATATATCATAATAATAGTACCTACCTAGGTAATTATATGTTTGCATGGCGTACTATTTAACATGCTTGGAACGTGATAGATATTAAAATATGTATCACTATAGAAATAAAATATCTAATTTTAGTTTAATTCATAGATATCACATGCACATTTAATTAATATACCTATTAATATGTAGGATACCTATGTATTAGTTTTATATTATAAGTTATTTATATAGTAATTTATACATATATATTTTACACAAATTTAACATTTTTTTGATTCGACTGCGATTTTAAATAAATTAAATAACTGTGAGTAATATAATATCAGAATATAAATTTTTTTAAATATTATGATTAGAAAAAAATGTTTGAACAACAATTAGTCAATATTATATTATACAATATTTACATAGAATTGATCGGATGTTGTCTAAAAATATTTATGTAATTTGCGGTTTTGCGCCCTGGCAACTATATTGACTTCATTTTATTTGTATAAACTATACTTTTATATATTTTGTTATGACTTCTTATAACAAATATCAATAGAAAAAGTATCATACACATGTATTAATCTATCCAAGTATGTGAATTTATAAAATATACAGAGCGAATGCCGAATATCTTATTAACAGCTCCTGTTATCCTGAATTAATTTTAGGGTTTTATTTAATTAATTCGATTCAAAGTACTTAGATTCCCTACTAGTTTTTACATTTTTTTTCTATCAATGTTGATTTGTTAATTTGCATAAATTCATAAATTATGAATATTGAAACCTATGGAAGGTTAATGTGGGTAATTAAAACCCATAATCGTTTAAACCCTATCTTAACATCTATTTTATATGTCATTGACCTATTAAATGATTAATGTTAATTAAATTATCATAATTATATCTTATTCCTTAAAATTGTCCTATTTCAGTTTTAAATAACGATCAGATTTCGATCGATTCCAAGCATTTTTTCAAATAAGTTAAAGTCTGTAGACTAGATAAAAAATAGTTTAAATAACATTGACATTTATCATAATATCCAATATCTTACTCACAAGTGACAATATTGAGGTGGAAATTACAGCAAAGGTACGTTTTTCCTGCACGGTTTGGACGTGGCGTCTAGTACCACATTGGTTCGGGAATGCTGTGCTATATAATGTCTGGCGTTGCTAGAAAACTTAAATTTAGTGTAAATTTCTGCTTAATATTGTGACTTGTACTTCAGATTTTAGATATTATAACAAATATTCACGTTATTTTTGTATAAATTATTAGTTATCTAGTCTATATTAAGACAACTATAAATAACAAAGTACTCCCTTAAAATATAGGTCAAAAAATACCTAAATATCCGGTAAATAAAATTCTCATTTATATATTTTAGTATTTCACCACTGCACGTTGAAATTTTTTTTTTTAAATGTTTCTTATATCTTTATTGATTCAATATTTTATTTTTAATTAAAATAATTAAACACTTGGCAATATTAAATGATTTTTCAGTAGAATTAATTGGCAATGTATTCGTAATTAATTTATTGTATTAACATTTTAATTATTGTAATTTGTTCTTATAGTTTGTGTATAAACTATATATTTTATAACATAAATTTCACACTTCGTATATACTTAGTTCGTTCATTTTATGTCGATGCATTGGTGATAACTGATAAATATTATTATAATACATACTTCATTCTTTGGGCAAACAAGAATGACTTAATATTGACAATGAGTAAGAAATGTTTTCTGTTTGGCCTGATAAACCTAATAAATAATTATTGTTTTATAATAGTTGATAAGTTTATGATATATGTGGTATGCAATGTGCTCTATTGATTTATGACGTTCTAAGAAATTATGTATTGTGCGATATTTTAGCCCATGGTAAAATTTACATATTATATAATAATATTCAGGCAGTAAAAATTAAAGAATTACATTTTTTACTACGACATTAATCCAATGATTTGTTTTCATAAAATTAAATCTGAATAAAATTAACTATTTGTATATTAACTTACTTTCATTTTTTCTATAGTTGAAATATGCACGTCTATATTTATATAGTTCATTTATTTTCTTGATTACCAAAATGAATAGGAATCGTATTGTATAAGTATATAACATATTGTTTTGTATATTATTATATGTTTTCTCCAATGTAAAATTAAAAACGATTTCATTTTTATGTCCTTTTGAAAACAATGTTGAATAATTTTTTCGCTCTTCAGAGGCTAAACTCGAAAGTTGACAATTTGAACAGTGCTTTTTAAATCGCGATTCATATTCTATCGTTGTACAATATACATTAAATATTTATATGTAATTATTGCGTTTAAATGTCGTTTGTAAACGGAATAATTTTCGTGTTACGTTTTCGTGTTTGTACGGAGTTACTGTTTATATCTTCTTAGACAAATTGTTTTGATAAATGCGATTCAAAGCCAACAACTGCGAAAATAAATGTTTTTCTAAACACTATAGAAGTATAGAACATAGTTCCGTCGTATCCGATTCCGGATTTTCTCGGTCATTGGGCATGACATTGTATTAACGGGCCGCGTTTTATCGGTTTCCAGCGCTGTCATTGAACCGAAAAATAACCATTCAAACACAATATTACACTATGTGGATGAGGTGATGGACAGTTTATTAGTGTTAGGTTAGTTTGGGTATAATAAAATATGTTAAAATGTATTATTTTCTAATAAACTATAACTAAAGGGAACCTAAAATATTTTCGGAACGATTGCTAATGATGTTCGTCGTCTTAACACAATGGCTCACAAAAATTGACCAATACTAATTGTTAAATTTTTCAATCTGAATCGTCAATGTCCTGTGTTTTTTTCCCGATATAGTCATTACTCGTTATATGGTTTACCGCACTCACTTGTCTAATTTTAACGAACGACTAGCTGTTGAATTTTAACAAACGACCACTGCTGTCGAACGTTTACAACATCGTACGAGTCTATCCCATCGGACACGTTTAAAAGTTAACCTTACCTATCGCCGAACAAAATACTGAAACACTCGTTGCTACCTCGTGTACGAATATTATGCTATGAAACATATTTAGGTACGATGTATTGTCGACGTCTTGTAGAAATCGGATAGCCATTGCTGCACATACCGCGTTCAATTGTATGCAGCCGATATTGTAATATTATGCAGGTACAAACTGTTATCGGCATAAATATTAATGACCCCGGCTATCATATTTATACACATTCAAGCCAAGTTAGGTAGGTACACGATTAAATGTATTAAATATATACACGTCTATAATCGTGTATTTTATTTGTGTGCCGAAGTAATATTTTTCCCGACTATAGCATTAAAAACCGTGCTGTTTGTTTAGTTAATTAAATAATTGATTGGCTTGTGGAAACGCGTATTTTATACAGAGTGTATACGAAGATCAGGCATCATACGCAAATGAGAATATTAGATATGTGTGTAAAATTGTCAGACCTTAGTGCTATACTTAAATACTCTGTATAACACGAGGTATAATATGTATAATGATATCAAGGGTGTTCAACCTGATTGCTGCCCTAAGCAGATTTCAGTGCGGCCCCAGTGTGAATTTCAAAACTTTTCATTTTGATTCATTATTTTTTTGTTTTATTGCAGTATTTTTCTCCTTTTAATTAATAAAAATGATATTATAAAAGAAGCATTTTTTGCTTTTTCCACTTATGCAAATTTTATGGAAAATGCGCCACAAGAAAACATTCTATCTATTCGCATAATGTGGGGACGCCCCTGATTTATATCATCCCAATCTGTTTACTCGATAATAACCAAATAAAACGAGTTATTATTTTACATAATATTAATGTTTATGTTTCATAAAATTTAAATTACCATAATTTTTTAATGTAGTTTCGTTTTTTTTTTCAGGCGATTGGTTAAAAATTATCAACCCAAAAAAAAGGAAGAAGAAGAATATCAGTAAGTTGTAGCCTTTATCGCTTTAAAATATAGTGTGTTTTGATCGACGTTTATCGTCTCCAAGTTCAAGAACAATTGATATTGGATGTAATTCGTAAAGATTTTTGGTTTCCGAATCAATTGGACCTTTCTATTTAAAGACAGGGGATAGGGGTAGCTAGCGAGAAGAGTTGCGAGCCATACAGTATAATGAAAAATAATATGAAGAGCAGGAAAAAAATAATACCTAAAATATTATATTAGTAAAAATGTAAACGACGCGAGCCGTTTTGGCCACCCCTGATATTATACGCTATCGGATGTATCTGATATTGTTTACAAAAATATGCCCTCTTAGCATTATTTTCCAACGTCTAAGAAGCCACTGAAAAGAGGACGTTATACTTATACGTGGCTCATCGAAAAATAGGATCTTTTGTGTTTTACTAAATGTAACAATAACAAACGTTTCAAAAACTCAGAACTAAGTATAATAAAATGCTGGTTAACTAAACAAAAAAGCGTCTACGTTTTAATCACTTATCTTGTGAATATTTATTTTTCGTCCGAGTTATTATTGTGATCATAACAGGCTTAACACCAGCTCTATAAATATATGCAATTAGATTCTACTGATTCTAGTAAAAATAAACCCTTCTTCGTCTAAATAGCAAATTCTAAGTCGCTTCTAAATTCTCATTAAAAATATATGGTATAAATAAATCTATAATATTGTTATTTTTAAAATTATTGATTGGTTAATAATATTGAAGAATTGCTTATTTTTATCCGTACTCGTGTAGTTTGTAGTACATTAGTATTTCTAATCACATTATCACTTAAATTAAATAATATGTAGTTTGTACTTTGTAGTGAGTACTTCTGTATAATATTACATACATTTTATTTGTGATCAAATATAGAGTAGACTGCGTTTTCTCTGTCTTATAAACGCATAACATGGCAAATGTACGCTCAGCAGATCAAGTTTAAGCTGTTAATTTAAAAATTAGAGTGAATTTAACTCTTAAAAAAATTAGAAGTAGAATATTATCTAGTGAACCTCATAAGTCATAGGGTTTTTTTATCTGTTAATTGTACAGCAAGGTTATAAGTATTTTAAAATACTTTTAACTTACTTTAAAATTAAAATCTAAAAAAAAACCTAAGAGATTTACCAGATAATAATCTTACCTTAAAATTTTATAAGAAGTCAATTCATTCTATATAGTTTTTAAACTAACAGAGCTAAACGTGAACTGCCGACCATACAATTTGCCATGTTATGCGTTTGTAAGACAGAGAGAAGAGAGAACGCATGCGGGTGTAGCGCCCTCTTAAGCCGCGTACACACTTGTAACATTTGCGCGTAACATCCATTGATGCGGCCAAATTTACCGACAATTGGTGGAACGGTGTTATGGCGTTACGGCGTAACAGAAAATGTTACAAGTGTGTACGCGGCTTTAGGTTAGGTTAATCGGAATTATTATTCATCTACAATCACTAATAATTTTACCGACAACGACAATCTAAAAATAATTTGCTCGGGGGAACAAAAGTAAAATTATTATTAATATCCGCGTTTATTTATAAATAAAAATAGCACTGGGCGATAAGATTTTTACTTTTATTTTCAAAGACAATTTATTTTTAGAGTGTTTTTGTCATTTATGATAATAATAATTATTATTATAGTGTTTGTCGATAAATGAATAAAAGTTTCAATAAAATTACGTGGGTAATGGTTTTGATTGTTGCCTTCAAAAGTTTAAACGTAAAAAAATACAGGTTATAAATAACCGTTGGAGAAGCAATAAGAAACTAGTTCTTCCGGCGTCGTCAGTATAAAAACCAAGTTATAAATAATACAACTGCTGGGCCTAATGATTAATAAGTAAATAACCAACGTAATATTGACAGAGATTTATTTAAAACATTTTTTTTATTTTGTTTAATAAAAATTAATTTGGCATATTTTTAAATGTTTAATAACTTGAAAGCGGAAAATTTGGATTTTAAATAGATTTTTTTGTGCATTATAATACGCGCTGCCCTGATGATATATGATTTCTCTTAATCTCCTTTGAACTTTATTTTATATTTTTATCAATAATTTTTTTTTTTTTGATTATAACTCGCGTTATTTTTATATTGACAACCTTCTAATATTTTACCATCGACACAAACATGTTTTGTCAATATAATCATGACGAACTTAAATATTTACAAAAAAAATATAACGATCAAAATCCAATGGACAAAAATGTAATAACTATAATCTGATCATAAGACTATAAATTCTCAATTGAATATCGCGAAAAAAAAATATCAGATTAATATCTGATTTTTAGTCCTGGTTCATCCAATTTTATGGAAATTCGTAGGACTACCATATGAACAATAGATTTTTTGATGTTTTATGCGTCAATAAACTAATACTTTTAAAATATTCAAATTATATTTTATTTATTTCATATTTTCTAATAAGTTGTATATATTTTTTAGTATATTATAAATAGGAAACGCAAAAAAAGTCAAACTACTTATGAATTATACAATTCGGAACATTTTAAATAAAACTTAAATAGGCAATCACTCTGTATAATAAGTTAGTTTTGTGTGAAAAATATGTTAATAAAAAGATAAAATCTACTGTTCACATATTATATTATCAGCTAATATAAGTCAGTTTTGTGTGGTATTCCGTAAATAAAAATTATGATAAAGTTTACTATTATAATATACTAGGTATATATACTAGGCGATTTTCAATCGTACCTATAGCGGTATTGTACAGGGCTAGACAAAAAAACCGATAATTTTCTGGTTTAGTATAAAGTACATTGGCAACATTAAAATTGCATATAAAGGTTTTTATACGTAAAAAAAAACTTGCGAGAACCATGTACACTATACAGCAGTGGAAGTGTTCTAAAGCATAGTCATTTGCCTAATGAAAATTTGGTGATCGCTGAAAAAATTTAATTCAACATAAAAGAGCAAGCAAATATTAAATATTTCTTCAAAAATACCAGGTTAAGTTAGATAAAATAGAACTTTTTTTTTTTAATATAAAAAGTATATTTACAATCTATACAACAAACAAGGTATAATGAGGAAGTGTGGTGGTGGCATAGGAACATTAGACATAAATAACATTAGGTATTAGCAGTGGCGTGGCGCGGATAGTAAAAAGATGTAAGCAGTGAATTTTTTTTTCAAACGTGATTAGATTATAGGTTACTATACCTAACTCTAATTCTAAATATGTATTAAAGAAATTTTGTCCTTTTAAAATTTTACTATTTTAAAAATATACTAGTGTAAAATCAAATTTCGAGAAAATAAAGAAATTGAAGTATAAATACTTCAAAAGTCTATTAGGCGAATGACAGTGACAGTGTACGTAAAAACGACTACAGTCAACAACGCGTCGGGCTACGTCAGGTCGCTCCTTGTTTCTCGCGTAAGCAAAATCAAATGTGCTTACAAACGCTAGTTAAATACGTGACCCCCACCATGGCATTATAGACTATTCGAAAATAACAGTTGCGCGTAAGCAATTTCAGAATGTGTTACACTGTATATCGTATTATGAATTATGATTATGCAGTTAACATAATACAGAATAGATTAAAAATAGACCTACAATCGATGATTTTCTTAAAATAGTTGGTAATCAGTAGACAGCGTACGACACAAATACACAATAACAAAAAACCACTACTAGCTATAACTTAAATATTTTATAAATAAAATTAAAATTTTAAAAATCATTTATTATGTACCTATTAGTCATGATTGATCAAATTTATTTTTTCTTTCATTTAAAGTGTAAGCAGTGCTTACAGTGCTTACATGCACGCTACGCCCCTGGGTATTAGGAAGGCTCCCAGCAGTGCCACCTGACCAGAAAAGAGAAAAATAGAACTTAGAGAATTTTCAATAGCTAAAGTCCAAAATAATAAGTTACAGCGATAATAAACAGAGATTTATATATTTAATATTTTTTAATAATATTATTGACTACAATTCAATTACATCATTATTAGCTATTATTTTTAAAAAACATACTCTTTTACCCCGAGAATTTTATTCCTACCATCATTATAAATAGTGAATAATATTATTTATATGTCGTTAGAATATCAATTAATTATACAATTTATAAATGTGATGACTGATGAATAATGTGAAACCAACTTCTCGTGATATTGTTTATATCATTCAAACAAAATGTCTTGATTTTGTAGTTCCGTTTGTGGTTTAACATTTTTTAATACAAACGTTACTCAGCTATATGTACAGGTCATCATCATCTCATACAAAATATAAATCAGTTTAAAATGAAAAAAAAATACAGGTTTAATGTTGCCTCTTGTGTTCTGAGACTAGATCATAAAAATACAGTATTTAATTTGGCCATCGTCGCCAATAGCATTTAGTGTATAGCACTATAGTTGGTAAAGTTCAATATACTCTACTAAATGCCAACCACTAACATATGATCTCTCAATTTAAATAAACTTCTTACTTTTATATAGCATACGGAGTGCAGACATACGGTACTCGGAAATGATATCATAATCTATTGGTATCCAATCGTTTAGAGATTATTAAATCAAAACTAAAAATTAAACGCTTAAGTTGACGGACGCCACATCCGTATGTTTTTTCTCTGTCTTACAAACGTACAATATAACAAATTATTGTTATTTTTAATATTAAAGTTAAATAGTGAATTATTATTATCAAATTAAATGGTAAGAATATCATATATTATAATAGTAAGACCTGTATCCCCCGAAGTCATGTCAAATATGCAACTAGGTGCTTAACCAATTTCATCACATTTTCACTGGTATTTAGTCGTAGCAAGTTCGAGACCATAATCAGATTGCTAAATAAATAATAAAAATTCACCATCGCGGTCGTCGGCGTCACGATACTATGACTCAAATTACAACTGTATTTTAATAAAATGGTTGTACCTCGGACATTTTCGTCACACCTGCATTCCGCCGATATGATGAATCATGTTTTTGATTTTTCCTTCGAAAAATTCTGAAATGTCGTCACTTATTATATCTACATGATAATTGTGTTGTTTGAATACAATTTTGTTCAGATAAAATAAACATTTAATACACAAAATTAAAAGTTTCTGAATAATTTTAAGACATAATTTTTATATTATCATTGATTATTACTTTATTATCATATCGCGGATTGCTTTTAAGCATTTATAAACAAACATTTTAATGCAACCGGTACAGCAAAATGCGATTCGGTAAAATAGTTATAAATAGTAAATCTACTCCAATGTCCTCCACGTCTTGGGCTATGATGAGCCCATGACATTATTGTGTGTAAAATTTATGGTCACACCTGTTGACCTATTTCAACAATTCAAACTTGAAATATACTGTTACCCGAAGACAATATTTTAATTCATTATCATATAGTACCTATGCGCAAATAACCAGTTAATATATTATTACTTTAAACTATGATTAGTTAAATGTGTATATTTTTGTTAGGGAATTCACGTCCTGCGGTGTACTGATAGTTATACCTATATACCAAGTCCATTAAACTTCAAAATCGTTTTCGCTTTGTTCATATTATTTTTTTATTTTGGTCAACACTTCTAGTATTTTTTTATGGTGAACACGGTCATAAAAAAAATTTCGATAGTTGTGTTTTTGAAATAGTGTCAATAAACACCCCTTTGTTCAAGTTATCCAGTCTGTACCTGTATCTGTTAATGTATTAATTATTGTAAATTAACTGTAATATACAAATTTTGAAATATTTTGTTTCATCTTTTGTTTATGAAAACGAGAAAATTTAAACAATTTTTTGAAAATGTTAACAAAATTATTGTTAAAAAGTACAAATGTCCCATGTTTTCTATTTCCCTCGGTTCTACAAGATGGGATTCGTTTTGGAGCTTTGAAGGGTTTGTACTGTTTGTAGTGGATTTGATGGTTTTGTATCTTTTTCCCGTTCGAGGTAGCGTTTTGTTCGTGTGGGGGAATCTTTATTTTTTTTTTCACGACCAAAGCTCGCGTGAGTCACGATGGCTATAACGATGACGTAACTACTCGCGGGGATCGATACCGAAGGGGGACCTTCTATACTCTTCCTTGCCCGTGTTCGGTCAATTAAAATTATCCTATATCTACAACTATAATATATGTACTCATATCCTTCAGGGTCAAAGCGACCCGGTGTTATTTAATATAATAATTCGACTGGTACGGTAACGAGGGTGGTGCATGCCGATTATTGAAAATGAAAACGGATTACCATGTTATTTTATTCGTAATTCGGTCATCCGTTTGTCCTTGGTTGTCGTTTACGAATACCTATATGATAAATAATATATCCATGGATAGGCTCGTCGTATTGTATATTATTATTCATACTAACCATTTCGTACTAGTATGTACCCGATGATTCGTAACAAGAAAATGCAAAAATCATTCGACGGTTTTTGGCCGAAATTCGTTTAAAAACGTGATTGTAATATTATATTAAAATATAATGGGTGCAATGTTGTAGTATTACATGGCAAAAAGCAATACTTACAAAATGTTTTTGTTATACAAGCGAATTAGTGCAAACTGTCGTACCACTGTATATATTATAATATATTCTCACGTTTTCTTGTATCTAACTACCTAAGTCTCGAAAGTCTGAGAAACCTTATTCAATCAGGCTCGTTAAAAATAAAACTTGCCCGTTGTATCTAATTATTTTCTTTCAAATGTTCTCACTAACTTTATTAAATGGTATCTTTTATTCTGAAATTATGTAACGAACACTTAAAAAATATTTAGATTAGTTTAGATGCTTATTATTTAGGTATATTATTTCACTGATAGTTTCCTAAAAATAAACGTTTCCTTTGAGGTCCTCAATTTTATTCACATATTTGGTCCCTAAAATGTCGCTAAACAATGTAGGTAATAGTTTTTTTTTCGATGCCTTTTATTTAATATCTGATGAAGTTGAACGCTTAAATAAAAATTATTATAACACAAAATTTTAAAAATAAAAGTTAACCTGTTACAAAAGTTTTTATTAGAGTTGTATTACATATTAATGTATGGTGTTTTCTAATATTTAAAATTTGTCTTAAAGTGTTCGACGTTCTTTAAATATTTTACACAACAATTAACTATAAAAGTAGTTATGACTTAATGCATTTTTTGAGCCTATAGTCATTAGTCGTGTACAGTGTTTCTACTTCAATGCAAATTAAACGTATCCAAACTTTCTAGACATCCGTGCAGTATACCATTATACATAAATTTACCAATTGTTTATCAATTTCGAGCATGTCTTTTTTCTCAAAATGACTATAGAAAATTATAACAACGCCTCTCCAATACTAGAGTACAACACACGTGACCTATATATTACGAAAAACGCATCTATAAATATAAATATATATATATGTATATATAATATAATATATAGTAAGGACATTTTCTTTTAACGAAATAGTCTCCTATTCATTACCTATTGTTGTTGTTTTATTGTTAATAATCTTTAGTAATCGATTGCTTTATTATTATTATGATTATTTATTGTTATTCGTCTCAAATATTTTTTATTACATTTTGTACCTATATGTATGCTAGGTACAGCACGTGTAAAGCGTTCAAGGCGATGTTGTGCGAAGTAAACGATTTGGCAGGTCAACACGAGGTGATCGCTGAAAATCTCCAATCCGACGTTATCAGGGAAATCAATTATCTGGTGAAGGACATCAAAGAAGAGAGAAAAAAGGTACGCCCATCTATTATACTCTTACTATATATGGATTAAAAATAAGAATACTTAAATATTATACAACCTGCAAAACATTTTTCGTATAATTATACACTCTCGTATCTAGGCGCGTGCTTATGAATTTTCCTTGATAGAGGGACGTATTTTTTCATAGATATTATGCTTAAATAAAATAATGATAACAAAATTAAAATTAGGTTAGGTTTTTTTTATTGATCTTTATTCTTAAGCATCCGCAACTATGGCCATTTGCATTTTAATTGTGGGTTACTGATGACACGTGCATATATACTATATGGGGCGAGGATTCCTCACTAAAAACCTGGGTGGTCACCTATCCGGGAACTAATGACGCCAGTCGATGCTTGACCCCAAACCCCTTAGTAACTGAGGCCAACCGACAACCACCGAGTCACACCAGGCCCAATTTTAAATATTATTTATAGTTTAATAGATAGGTTTGAAAAAAAAGACAAATTTTGATTAAGTTTTGAATATATTTTTATGGCACAAAAATCGAACATTTACCTAATTGTTGGATAAAAGAATCAATAAGTACCTATATGGTATAGCTGTAACACGATAATATTTTTCGGGGTTCTTATTTATTTTTACTGTTTCCAGGATTGGGTACTATAAGAATTATACATGTCGTATTATCTATCAATGAACCCTCCTCCTAGGTTAAAATATCATGACCATGACCCCCCGCCACCTTATAGTGTGCATGTGTGCTACAAATTTCTTGCTGTTTTGGCGACTCCCTTGATGGTGATACCGTATATATAACCAATATATTTTTTTAAGTGAGTTTCCATTTCTGCCACAGTTGCTCCAGGACAGCGCGAAATATGTGGCGATGATCAACAACCAGGTGGCGTCACTGGAGAGGTCGCGGAAAAATTACGAGAAGGCGTTCAAAGAGGCAGAAAGGGCTTTGGACAACTTTCAGCGGGCCGACGCCGACCTCAATTTGTCCCGAGCCGAAGTTGAGAAACAGAGGATGAACATGGCTATCAAAAACCAACACTGTGAGGAGTCGAAAAACGAGTATGCCAACCAACTGCAAAAAACCAATGAGCTTCAGGTACCTACTCTAAAACCTTTAAAAATACGAAATTGATACGGGAGTGGGTCCGAATTCGATTTTTCATAGAAATCCTATATACAACTCTTTATTTCAAAAAGCTTTACATTTTTTGATAGGTAGTGTTATTCTAGTATATTACTTTGTATATTACTTTGTATATTACTTTCATTTCTTCTTCACTCCACTCTCCATTGATAAAAACATACTGTTAGCTTTCGATTTCTCAGCGGTAACTTATAGTTTATACATTTTTATTTATATAAAAGCAGAAGCAGAATAATATTTGTCACTTCACTCCTCGTATATACATATTTCCAAAAAAGATAATATGTTTAATCACCTACTTTTCGAAATAACTGGCGTTCTCGCTGTTAGAATGATCGCCCTGTATACGACTCCTTGATCTCGGTGTATATGTACTATATTTATACTAATCGCCCAACAATAATAATATACTTGGACGCATTCAACTCCTAAACGGAGCCACTGCGGGACTCGAGCACGTCGTTAAGTCGCGTGCATGGTTTATATGCACTTTATTTGCTGTTTACTGAATTGCTATGTGTCCGTTCAGAGCCAACATTACAAAGCGCTGATGCCGGAGGTGTTCAGGCAGCTGCAGGAACTCGACGAGAAACGCATTCGAAACGTCAGGCATTTCATGGCCCATTCGGCGGACGTGGAACGCAACGTTTTCCCGATCATAAACAAGTGTCTGGACGGCATCATAAACGCTGCCAATCAAGTGAACGAGAAACAAGTGAGTCGAAGTCGATAAATACGCGACGCGATAATAATATATTAAATGTTTGTACTGTAGGCAGTTTACAGAGTGATTCGCCTAGTATGCTCACCCCAATAAACAGAAGTGCCAGCCTCGTACATTTTTCCTCTAATAATGCATTTATTCAAATTCTGACCTTTGGAATTGTTTATAGTTAGTTTATTTAGTAAGAGCATAATATTCTATTCTCAGATACTTGAATTAGCATTTAAGGAGTGTCCTATGGCGTAATAATCATATTTTTTTTTACAATTTTCTGCTCCACAACACAAAATGACCATACCTTCCAGGTACCTATTTGAATAAAAGAAGTTCATGCAGAACAATCCGTAAATGCCACTCAAACATCTAAGTATTTGAAAATATATTCTTTAAATATACTTAAAAGTTAAAACTGCCAAAAAATCAGAATTTGAATACATTTATCATTAAAGGAATAATGCACGCAGCATGCATACCTGGTGACACTCTGTATAGTGTATTTACATAAATAATATAGTACCTACACTAAATGTTACATATAAAATGCTGCTAATGAAATACATTTTTTTACCAATAAAATGTAAACGACGACGGTTTGCAGCGTATTTTGTTATGCCCAATAACAACACGCTCTTTCCAAACAATATTCTCCTCTGCCGCTCCCGTAAGTAGACTTAAGTGCCATAAGTTCTCTAGATCGCGGTTTTCGATCAAACTATTTTTGATTTTACAGTCGAGGTTCTGTGTTAACTTCTAGCGCCGCCTGTATTTAGTAACCTGTTTCCCTCAGGTACCAACAAATAAGAATCATAATATTCAATTCATTGTTAAAATATATTAAAAAAAAATCGTGGACCGAAACCAAAAATTACGGTGGTTGGTTCGCTTCGTTCTGCGCGATAAACCTGCGGCTACTATTGTTTTTTTTCACTTTTCATCATACATTTGTTTTACTCTTGGTTTGACTTTCAGGACACGATTTTAGTGATAGAACGGTACAAGTCTGGTTTCGAACCACCCGGAGATTTCCCGTTCGACGATTTGAGTCGCGGCGGCGAATCCACGCCGCTCATATTGCCCGGTAGCGGCAACACTTACGTGTCATCGGGCGTTGGCGCCCACAGGTCCGAATCGATGACCGTCAAGGGCACCATGTCGGCCGGCAAGCTGAAAAAGCGTGTGGGCCTGTTTGCCATATTTAGCTCCAACAAGGTATATATATTATTATGCATCGAAATTATTTATAAACATTTATGACGACAATAATAATAACATTTAATATAAATTATTATGTACCTTCCATTTGATTATATAACATGGTCGGTATTTTAACGATTTTTTATTTTTATTTTTTTTTTCCGATTATGTTTCGCAATGAAATATAAAATATGCTCTTCTTGAAAAAAATTCTCAATACTACCCCAATTCTTCTTTCTGTAAGTACTTTATATCCGTGGGAAAAAAACGATTATAGTGTCATAATATTATATTGGTCAAACGTCACCGTTTTCTAACGCCTCAGAAATACTCACCTGGCCGCGATAATATTTTGACCGTAATTAGAATTAAGATTAATAAATATATTTCATACAAAATGTACGAAACCGTTAAGGATGCCATACACTGCAGCGATGGCGGTAAAATTGTGTCCGGACTCATTTTGCCGCCACCGCCACTGCTGCAGTGTGTGGAGATCTATAAGGTTATTGTGTAATCTCGAGTACGATTCATTCATAAAATACAAACGTTGAGCGGGTCAGTATTTCTGGAACACAAATAAAAATGATGAGACTGAGCTTAGTGACCGACGCGCCTAATTTGTTTTTCACCGCATTCATGTTTTTGAGCTATAATAGCGATCACAATAATTATTAATATATTATTCAAACTACTCTGAATTGTGGCCATAGTATATTTTAACCACGAATTACATATAATATCCTGTTTTATTTAACCTAACACGGTTTCTAAGTTTTCAACATGAATCATTAAAACATCGTTTACTCACAGAAATTAATCAAATTGTAATATTTCACTAACTTCTATTAACGACCCAGTTCCGAATTACCGAAATTATTATAATTTTAAGATAATCAACTAAATCCCATAATTTTAGGGTTTATTGTAAAATGTACATTATGTTGTTATCATATAATATTTTAAAATGTATATATCATTATTTTTATTATAATTTACTAACTGCATGGCTAATCACGCTCGCTTTATATGTTTTACATGCACTTGGAAGCTAATGGACGTATGCAGTTCTGTAAAGGTATTAAAAAATATTTTTTTAATTGTGTGATTAAATAATATAGTATTTGACTGTTAACCTCTGAAAATCAGAAAAGGGATGATTATTAGAAACATAACAAAATATTACAAATAAGTTACATTTATAGATATTTGTATAACAAAGAATAATGAAATTAAAATAACCAAGTTAGGCTTTTAAATATTCACCAATGAATAATAGATATTATTAACATCTACATAAACGTTATAAACATTAACTTAAGTTTTTATATTTAATATTAAATCACTACTATTATAACTTCCTATGTTATAACATTACTAACAAAAACTTATTTCAGCTAATAATAATATCAAATTGGGGGGTCGTAGTGGTCGAGTGGACCACACCGTTGGTTCCCTACTTAAACCATCGCCGGTTTGAATCGCGACCACTGGCGGCTCCTCTCTCTGGGCAGGCAACTGTATAGAAACTGAGACCTCCGCAATCCTCTGACCGGGCATGGCAGATACCTACGGGTGCCCAACTTGAATTCTGACAAAAAACGTGTTTCAACCCACCGTTCCAACCCCCCCCCCCTACAAAAACAGCTAATGGCCATGGTTGCCGGGCTTCAATATAAAAAAAATTTGATTATGCTCCTATTGTCAATTTTAAACAACCCCCTGTATTATACAATTATTTTGCTTGTGGAATAAAAGAAAAGCTTGGATAAAATAATTAAATGTTTATTTTGTTTATGTTAATCATTTCTTTGTTTGTTTTTATAACAGTTTTAATAATCGCATGATGCATTATTTTGAAATAATATGTTATACTATTTTATTAATTTAAGTTACTTACTTATTATAGAATAACCTTTCATCTTCGGGTGACAAGGATGACTACAGTGAATTACCGCCAAATCAACGTCGAAAAAAGATCCTTCAAAAACTAGACGAAATGCAAGCAAAATTACATCAAGAAATAGCAGCCAAGTAGATACTTTTTACATTTTAATATGTAAATTTCGAATTATATGTGATGTGTGTTTTATTTACTTAGAGACGGTTTAATGAAAATGAAAGGAGTATACGAATCTAACCCAGCCTTGGGTGACCCAATGTCCACAGAAGGTCAACTGAACGAATGTTCACAGCGTATCGATAAACTCAACTCTGATATAGCCAAGTACCAGGGACTTTTACAAGAAGTCGAATGTAATGTTAGTCCTGCAGGTACACGCAAACATGAGTTGACAGAACATAATGGTATCGGAAATGGTAGCACTAACAACCTATCCAATCACAAGTAATATTGTAACTATTTCAAGTGAATTTGAAATTTATATTATGTATTGTATCTTTTAGTAATAGGATAATTACATCTTTAACGGATGGACGAGCTCCTCTTGGTGAAGATGAATCTTTAAGCCGTTCGGCATCTGATTCTAGTGTTTCTATACCGGCTGTTGGAATAAACAAGTAAGGTTTTAAATATATAAATTTGTTCACTAATAATAATATAATATCAACAATTCTATTTACAGTCGATACTCTGGTGAGACTGTAAGTCTGGGCGCATCGCGCAACTCATTGGCAAATGATGAAGATCCTCCACCTTATTATGATATTCACGATTTACCACCACTGGGAACTTGTACCGCTCTCTATGCATTTGAAGGTAAATATATTTTATTGATTATTTATTCTTTTAATTTATGTTACAGCACAATGTTTACAATGATATTGAATGTTACAGCTACAAGCGAAGGGTCAATACCAATGTTTGACGGAGAGCAACTGTTAATCATCGAACAAGATCAAGGAGACGGTTGGACACGTGTTAGAAGACAACCTCCCAATGTTGAGGAAGGTTTTGTACCTACGTCATACATCTCCATACACTCCAGCTGAACAGAGGCATTTGTTTTCAATGTTTACGACACCCTATGACATAAAAATCAATTGTGTATATACTAAACTAAAACACCCTATCCATAAATAATTTTAGACTTAATTTTTTTTTTTTATGTATAAGGTTGTGAAAAGTGCCAATTTTTTTAATGAAAATGATATTTTAATCGGTCCGAGCTCAAGTTGTCATGTAGGATTTTTTTTAAGTTAGGAATTTTGTTTTTAATTATTATCATTACTATTATTATTGCTTTCAGATAATCAAATTTCTTTAACCAATGTGCAATTGAAATGAACCAGTGGCAAATTATTCAACTCGCTTGACTTTTTATTTTTCTACTTTCGCCACTGTGTCTTATTGTTTCCCGTCGTTTAACCTGTTGAAAGCCAAAACGAGAATGTAATAAGTTTTCAACTTATAAAGAGTTTCCGTCCACCTTTATTTTGTTTTATTAATCATAAGTTCTTTAGTTTCCAATATTCTTTTTTTTTACACTGTTTATTTATTGTTTTTTTTTTTTTACTCGATTTTCTGCCTTTCAACTTGAATATTTAAATAACATAAGTAACAATTTTGTCAATTAATGATCCATTTGTGTATTTTTCTAAAACAGATGTCTAATATTTTAACTTGAAAAAAATAGGTTGTGTTTGTTCAAACTTATTATAAATACCAGACGAGTGTTAATTATATATATACCTATATATTGTAAAATGGTTAAAGATTAATTATGTATATTTTTTTAATATAAGTTGTACTAAAAAAAAAATAATATTAATAATAATAATAAAACCATTAAGTTATTATTGAATGAAATAAAGTAAAATAGTAATATTTACGAAACATGCGAACAAAATTAACAAACAGACAACAATTTTATGAGCGGTTGTAATTTTTTTTTTGTTATTATATTAATATTTATATAATCCTAATACTTATAACCAGCGTTTTTCATTTAATCCCAAATCTATGCTTATAGTGTATCAGTATAGTCTATCACTGATTTGTACAATATATATATATAATATATTAAAACGCCTTAAAAACATATCACTATTTATTGTTTCAATACATTGATTATTAGACTTTATGCTACTAACCATATTATGTAAAAAGTAAATAATTACTAAGATTATTATTTGTTATTTATTAAACTGTTTAAAAATTAAAATGGATACGTTTCCTTATTTTTTTTTTTAAGTGTTTGGTCAGTTTAAGACAATCCTAGGATAGAATCTTTATCATTTTATCTAGAAAATTAGGCACTAAATATATAAAAAAAAATTATTGAAATTGTGTTGTTTTATGAATATCAGCTATTATAATTAGTGTTATATCAAAAGATTGACACAATAATCCAATTAGCTAGACAGTGAATAAGATTTGTTCGCTTACTTGTCCATTACACTCAAGTACTCATTTTTAATAATTGGGTGTCTTAGACATAAACAGCTGACTTAATGTTATGAGAAAATGTGTTAACACTACAGATCAATTGATCACAATGCGATCATTTTATTCTTTCATAAATTACTGCTGATCTCGTTTTTTACAAAATATTTTTATATTTTGAATGACAATTACAAACAATCATTGTACAATGGCACTGCTACATGAAAATTTAATATTAAATAACGGTTTTGTGTGCTAGTGAAACTTTTAAATTTGGCAATATTTATTGTAGTTTATTATTATTAATACTATAGTCGACGACCTTCGGCGGCGCAATTAGGACAACTGTTTTGGGGGGATAAATTCATAATATCAACAATTGATTATATATTCTATAAATCAATATTAATTATTAAATTTGATAATTTTTTTATTTGGTACTGATTATGGATTTAAAAATGAGGGGGGGTTAAATTAAACTAGGGGGCTAAGCCGGGAGACACCCAAGTCTCCCCTCCCCCTAACTTTTGCCTATGTAGTCGACACTATATTAATGACAAGGCCACAAGAAGTGCAGTAAATTAGGGGAAAAGTGCAAAGCTCTTAATCTGTCCTAGCTGGATAGATACAGCATGAAACAATTATTGTTATACCCAATACTATCTATGTGATAAAAATTAAAATGTAGGGACAGCTAAAAAAGTGGATAACTTATACTCAGATAATATTATAAAAATTTTACACTATAATTTTAGTTTTATTTGTATATTACAATATTAAAGTACTATACAGTATATAGGTACCTACACATAAACTATGTAGTATTTATTAGTATAAATTATAAATGAATGGTAATACTGTGTATTGGTCACTGAGAAGACTGGCTAGGGGCTACTAGGTGTGCAGTGTGCTGCACTTTCAGTATTTTGATGTTTTAACATTTTTGTGAAAATATTGAATTAAAAAATAATTTCATGATTCTAGAATATCATAGGAAATAGGTTACCTTATAGTTACCTTATCAGCAATAGTCAGTGGATAAAAGAAAACAGGACAAAATTTAATTTAAAATTATAACCAAGTAGTTTGTTATTTTAATGGCCCTAACTTTTGAAGCTTCACCATTTGCACAAATTTTATTTTTTTGTTAGTCAGTGTTGGCTTGGCAAAGGCGGCTGGGAGGCCCGACCAGTATTTTTTATATAAGGCCCTTATTTAAATTTGTTGAATGTTTAAATAAATAAAAATAAAATAATAGTTAATGCACGTGATGATAGTGAGAGTGAAGATGAATTAACAAAAACCACAGATTGTTATGAATTCAAAAATTGTACTTATTGTGCTTTTGTTATAATTTGAAAGTTATGTAATTAAATTTGTTTTGTAATTTTTCATAGACATGAGTTATGAATTTATATTAATTTTGCTTTTCGCACAAATGTCATGTGAGAGAGAGTTTTTTCAAAACAACTTCAATCAACCATAAAGAAAGAACATTTGGGTCAGTTTATGATGATGACTGTAGAAAAATACCTGTATCTCAATTGACTGAGAAAAATGTATTAAAAATGTGACCAACTCATCAAATTTTTTAAAAAAATTACTCATATAGACAATTAAGATATACAATTTAACAAATCACATCTGTACATTTGTATACATTTATTTTGTATATAAATATAGTATGAATATAATTATAATAAATATTTAATATAAACATAAATATTGTATTATTATATTTAAGTATAAGTACTGTAATTATTAATTTTTTATCTATAAAAACTTCCGGATGTATTATTGGGATTCAAAGTTTGTAATTATTGTTTACATATTTCATTAAACTATTTAGGCTTTACTTACCACACAAAAGCTGGCAAAAGAGTGTAAACAAGTATTTTTGAAAGAACCTTTGCAAAATTTGCCCTCTATGCCTTCTATCACATTGGATTCTATTTTTTTTTTTATAGACCAACACTTAATTTATAGATTTCAATTTTTACAACTAAACAGGACCTCAAGTATAGCTGGCTATTTTAGGAGCCCTATGAAATTAATTTGTATTTTTTGAAATTTTAATATTTTGTTAGAAATATTTATTTTATAATTTTATATATATTAAGTAGAAATTGTGTATGGGATACTCGTATCAGTCGTATCGCTTGTATTGAGTTGTATTTTATTGGAAATTTTGTACCTATATAGGGTCTGCAAAAACATTTAGTATAGGGGCCCAAAGTTTGATGTGGTGGTTCTACGACCTACAAATAACCATGTAATATTCGATCGAATCAAAAATTTATTAAAAAAGTTCAGAATGTTTCAGGCGTGAATGCGTGACAATGTATTTGGAATTTTTCATAATATTAATATAGCCAGGAAAGCAGGAAACCGCAATAATTTCTTCGGGTTTTAGAGGGCTGCCCGTATTGAGTATTCGAAACAACAGAATAAACAATTTAAGCAAACGTTTGGGACTTGGGTGTTAATAACCATTAATATTTGTTAATACGGGTGTTATTTAATTTAGAAAAAATAAAATGTTTTTAATAGTTATTTCTATTGGATATTTTTTTAAATTTTCAATATTGTTTTTTAGCAAAATGTCGAAATATTTTTCTATACGTATATTTGTTCTACACTTTTGCATCTGCCCTCTAATTTTTTCCAATTCAAGCACTGCTCGCATCGGATATTTATTTATTTATTTATTATTAATTAACGCTTGTTAGGGCAATTTTAACAAAGGTAAAGTAATTTTTGAAACACTATTATTACATTTTATTATTATATTCGGATGAAGAACCAACAACAATTGGGCAACTACACATAATAACATCATTATTGGTGGTTAACACTAGACGTGATCATAATAAAATAATATAAATTATTATCACCATCAAAACCGTGCATATTGTTTATTTGTTTGAGGAAAAAATGCTATAGACTAGTCTGCGGGAGGACACAATAATTATTTCATTATTGAAACTGCGTGAAAAAAGTGCAAAAATTTTGTCGACCTTGCCAGGATTCGAACCTGGAATCTTCTGATCCGTAGTCAGACGCGTTATCCGTTGCGCCACAAGGCCTCGGTGTGTTGACGTGGCAAAACGTGAGCATATAAACACGTTTCTGGTATCTTCGGTTAGTTAGTTTCCGCTGTTATCACATAGTAGAGCATGCATAATGATAACCGCGATTGTCAATATTCAAGTGTTTAACCGCGTGTTTTCAAATCTCACGAAATATAATATTAGATTTCGTAAATTACATATTTTATTAGGCATTCTATTATTCTATCACTCGTTTGTTGTTAAATATATTATTATGTGAAGGAGTTTTGAATCCTGGATTCTGGAATAATGTACAAGATCTCGAAAATATTTCACGTTCAACTATTATAATATTAAAGTATTAATATTTACTGTATTACATAACATCTTATGGCTTGTGCCTTGCAATAATATTACAGTTTAATAAACTGATTGTTTTATCATGCATAATATATAAAAAATATTACAGTTAAAACTATTATCTAGGTTAAGTAAACAATCATACTATGTAACAGGTAAAATACCAAAACAAATTATACAATACCTATTCAATAAGC